TGTGAGCTATCCCTAATCTTCCTGAAGCAACGCATACAAACTGTACTAGGCCTACAGTTTCATTGCGGGGACACTACCTTCACCTGCCATCATGTCTATCGGCTCGCTTTCGGGTTAAACTTTCCGTGACTGCGCAACTGGGTAGGTTGCCAGGTTGAGGTGACAAACGGGTTGAAATTGTAAATGGTCTGTGGATTGTTTGAATATAGTGCATTTAATACAATCTGGCAACTGGTCAACATCAGACAAACATATTGGTCCGATTATTCATAAAGGAGTTTGGGCCATGCAAATTACGGGAGTTTCCCGGGAAAAATAACAAACCGGGAGGGGTCCGGGAGATAGGGCTAAAAAACGGGAGAAACCCGGGAAAAACGGGAGTGTTGACAGGTATGACCAACGCACATCTCTCCTCCCTGATCTTTTGCAGCACCAGCGGCATTAGTTTGATCGGGGGAAACGCATACTTCCGACCCTTCAGCCAGCGGCTCGACAGTGCGTCTCCCTCTAGAGTGGCTGTCGTCAATGCAAAGTACAGTGGGCGTTCTCCTGTGAAGCAAAGAGGTCGATCTCCGCTTTGCCAAACAGATTCCAGATCATGTTTACCGTCTGCGGATGAAGCCTCCACTCCCCGTGCACAATGCCATCCCTGGACAGCATGTCCGCGCCGTAATTCAAACTGCCCAGCACATGTACTGCTCGAATCGACAGTAGTACTCTGTCTGTCCATAATAACAGCAGCCTCGCTAGCCCCTGAAGGGATCGCGAACGTAAACCTCCCTGGCGATTTATGTACGCCACCACCGCTGTGTTGTCCGTCCTGATGAGAACATGACGGTCTTTCACAAACGGGAGGAAAACCTGCAGCGCTAGACGAACCGCTTCCATCTCCAAGCAGTTTATATGCCAGCGCGTCTGGTCTCCTGTCCACGTACCGAATGCCGGTCTGCCATCGCAGAGGGCTCCCCAGCCTGACAGTGATGCATCCGTAGTGACCACTACACGTCTGACCACCCTGCTCGAACATGGTCGTGTCGAACCAAGGCGCTAGAGTCTCCAGACACGAACGCGTTATAATAAGGCGTTCCGTACCCGCTTCCCACGCCCGCGACTGTACTCGTCTCTGTAACCAGTGCTGAAGCGGTCTCATGTGCAACAAGCCCAGTCTGCAGACGGAGGCTGCAGCTGCCATCAGACCGAGTAGCCTCTGAAACGTTTTCAAGGGGATGGCTCTGCCTTGAATGAATAGGGCTAATGTACCCTGAATTGACTAGATTCTCGACTCTGGCAGCTTTGCGATCATAGCGCGTGAGTCTAGCACCATCCCGAGGAAGGTGATGGACTGGCACGGTCGAAGTGCGCTCTTCCGCGTGTTCACAGACAGCCCCAGACCTGACAGGTGGGCGAGGAGTCTGTGTTTGTGTTCCTCGAGGACACTTTCCGACCGCGCGATGACCAACCAGTCGTCAAGATAGTTCAGAATGCGCATTCCACTGAGCTTCAGGGGAGCAAGCGCTGCATTCATGCACATTGTAAAAACACGGGGGGCCAGGGCCAGGCCGAACGGCAACACTTTGAACTGGTATGCCACACCTTCGAATGCAAACCGAAGGAAGCGCCTGTGATGCGGGGCTATCTGAATGTGGAAGTATGCATCCTTTAGATCCACTGCAATGAAGTAATCGTCGGGCTGAATGTGCGCGAGGATCTGCTTCACCGTTATCATTTTGAACGTGCGTTTCGCGAGCGCTTTGTTCAGTAATCTCAGATCCAAAATAGGGCGCATACCTCCGTCCTTCTTCGGTACTAGAAAATAACGGCTGTAAAAAACGGAATTTTTTTGCTCTTCGGGTACTGTCTCTACTGCTTGTTTGGCCAGGAGAGAGGAGATTTCTGCCCGAAGCAACGGAGCGCTCTGTTCTGACACCTCTGTCATAATCACGCCGCCGCCGAATCATAGCCGCGTTTTATCGTGTTTAATACCCAATGTGATGCCGTCGGTAGCGTTGACCACGCACTCAGGTGACTCGATAAAGGGGGCTTTAATGAATGTTGCGGCGGGGGCTGAGCGCCAGCCACCGGGGAAGCATTGACCACTACATGAGGTGACTCGTCCGCGGTCTTTCGCACGGGGACATAAATAGCCACCTTCTCGGGTTTCCCCGAGCTTCCGCTCTGCGAAACGTCTCCCGGGGGAGAGGTCTCGCCTATGACGCGGGTAATAGTGTAGGGAGGAAGAAAGCTCTTTTGCTGAGACATGTAATGCACTTTGTTTATTGAAACGGAACACAGCGGTTTCAAAATCAAAACATTCACGTCGAACTCTTGGCGGGAACACGCCCTCTTCGCAGCGGGTCCGACGAACACGTCCCGCGCTCTCTCCTCCCCGACACGCACATCAGGAACGCTGCTCCTTTTTGCCCGCCGGGCGCTCTTGGCTGCTAGAGGCCGGTCTCGCACCAAAGCGGGGCTTCCTGAACTGCCTCTGGCGGAAGGGAGGCTCTGGCTCGCGGCGCTCCGCCGTGCTCGGGGACGCGCGCCTGGTAGGTCCCGCCGGGCGCTGCGCAGAGGAAGATCTGGATCTCGCTGCAGGGGGGGCTTGAGACCGTTTCGGCAGTAGATGAGGCATCATCTTGGATTGCTTGACGGTCTCGGCGTACTTGTCGGATAACAACAGCGTCAGCCACAGATGGCGATGTAGGGCCACAAGACTGCCCATATTTCGGCCGATCCCCTGGGCGACCTTTTTTGACGCCTCCAAAGTGAGATCTGCCCCCGTGCGCAGCTTCCTGACCAACTCGGGGTCCGGGATTCCCTCATCCAGGGACCCTAGGAGTCGCGTCTGGAAAACCTGCAGAATTGCCATCGTGTGGAGGGCAGATGCTGCATGTCCAGCTGAAGTGTAGGCTTTCTCAGCCATGTGGGCAGTAGCGCGACATGGCCTGGAAGGCAGTTGGGCGGTCTTCCAGCCGGGAGAAGACGCTAGATGAGCCGCGATGGCATCCTCGACGGGAGGCAATCGCGCGTACCCCAATTTCTCCGCCCCTTCCACTGAAGTCAGCAGCTGGGTACCTTGTGCATGGGCTCGGGCTGAGTAAGGGGAGCGCCATGATCTGGTGAGCTCCTCGTGGACCTCCGAGAAAAAGGGGGCGGGTCTCCGCGGGGCTTCAGCCTGACGGCCCGCACCGAGGAAGGAACCATCCATCCATCTCTTAGACGGTAGCTCCTTGGGCGCTGTCTACTCCAGCTCCATATCCGCCACAGCCTCAGTGAGGATGGCCATAAGCTCCGCATCCAAAGAGGCGGGGGCGCCTTCAGAAGGGGACTCGGACCACGCTCCTGGGTCGGAGGCACTGGTAGACATGGCGTCGTCATCGTCATATCCAAATGAGACTATTTCCCGCGCTTCCTTAGGAGGGCGGTAACAGGCCTCAGAGTAAGTTAGGGGCTCTGCCGCTTGAGGATGGCGTGGGTGTTGGGCCGACGTCAGAGCCTCGACAGAATCCACGGATGGGGTTCTCTGCCGTCTACCGGTCCGCGGCTCGACGGCGGCAGACTGGGGAGAGGCAGGAGACACAAGGCCGTCGTTACGTGTAACGGCCAGCCTTGCATGAAGGATCTTGATGGGAAGCTCCTCACAGGCACGACATCCCGATCCCTCGAGTGCCGCCTCCGCGTGGGCCCGGCCCAGGCACAGCACACAGTTCTCGTGTGCGTCCGGGAAATCGATGGGTCCACCACACATGCGGCAAAGAGACATATTTTTTTATAATCCACCGGAACGCGAGAGGGGAACTTTTCCTTGCTATATTCCGCTCTGAATGCGTACATCCACGGTGAAACAGACTCCACGGTGAAACAGACTCGAGTGAAGAAAAAGATTCTGAGGTTTTTGGCGCCCGACGTCACCTATATTGAGGAGTGTCAGCCAATCAGGTGATGGCGGGATCGCCATTGGCTATTTGCAAGCAAAAGAGTTATTCAAATCACTTCATAATTCGAGGAGAAATGGATTTCCCCATACGTAATGTCGAGAGACCGACTCGATAAGGGAACCGGCTTTGTGCAACAGGCCACAGGACGTTTTTATTGTTTTACTAGAGACGAAGTACTGCCTTACACTGACAGCTAAATGACAAGTCAGAAAGTTACAACTCAAAAACAACTTCCACAAAACTAACGTCACAGAATTAAAGTTTATTTCACTATACGTTTGCTTTATCTGAATCTCAGTTTATTTTAATTATTGGATCTGTAGAAACCCTTTACTCACAAAATCACACATCGTCAGTAAAATGGTCATTTTATTTGTTGTTATTGTACAGTTATTGTGCATACATGTAATCACAGGCTTTATGTAACAAAAAAAAAATATATATATATATATATATATATTCACATATTAACAAATAACTGATTGTTGTTGTTTTTCTGCATTTGTTTCCAGTCTCTTTTCATTTTGGTATTTCCTTGAGTAAGTGTTCTATCAAAATAATTTTCAATAATATTCTTGTTCTCTAACATATAAAACACAAATCTCGTGGCATTCACATCATCACTAGTTTATTAGCTAGCTACTTATGTGCATCTAACAAAACATTTGCTCACTGTGACACAGAACAATGCTAATATGAGTCAATTTACTTGAAGATGTGAAACTCTTCTCACACAGAGTACAGTCGTACGGCTTCTCTCCAGTATGAACTCGCTCGTGTGATTTCAGGTGTCCAGACTGAGTGAAACTCTTGTCACAATATGAGCACTTGTAAGGTTTTTCTCCAGTATGAAATCTTTGGTGCCGTTTCAGATATTTAGATGTAGTAAAGCTCTTCCCACAGTCACAACACACATGATCTCTCACTTCATTGTGTGTTTTCTGGTGCAGTTTAAAACTGTTAAGCCGTGGAAAACTCTTTCCACAGAGAGAACACACATAAGGCCTCTCATCTGAATGAACTTTCAGGTGTGATTTTAGATTTGATGAAGAAATACATATTTTACCACAATGATCACAGTTAAATGTTTTGTTCTCCAGAGTGAATGCGCAGATGATAACTGAGAGCTGATGCTTGAGAATAACTCTTTCCACACTGAGTGCATGTATACGGTTTCTCTCCAGTGTGAATTCTCATGTGTGTCTTAAGGGTTGCAGACAGAGTGAAACTCTTGTCACAATATGAGCACTTGTAAGGTTTTTCTCCAGTATGAATTCGTTGGTGCTGTTTCAGATCACGAGATGTAGTAAATCTCTTCCCACAGTCAAAGCACATATAATCTCTCACGTCATTATGTGTTTTCTGGTGCAGTTTAAAACTTTCCAGCCATGAAAAACTCTTTCCACAGAGAGAACACACATAAGGCTTCTCATCTGAATGAACTTTCAGGTGTGATTTTAGATTTGGTGATGAAATAAAATCTTTACCACACTGATCACAGTTAAATGGTTTTTCTCCAGAGTGAATGAGCAGATGAACACTGAGACTTGATGCTTGAGAAAAACTCTTTCCACACTGAGTGCATGTATACGGTTTCTCTCCAGTGTGAACTTTCATGTGTGTGTTAAGGTGTCCTATCTGTGTGAAACTCTTTCCACACTGAGTGCATGTATACGGTTTCTCTCCAGTGTGAATTTTCATGTGTGTGTTAAGGTTTCCTTTCTGAGTGAAACTCTTTCCACACTGAGTGCATGTATACGGTTTCTCTCCAGTGTGAATTCTCATGTGTTTGCTAAGGTCTCCTTTGTCTGTGAAACTCTTCCCACACTGAGTGCAGGTGTGCGTCTTTTTGGCTTTTGTTCTTTGAATTGTAAAGTTACGATGTTCCTCCTTCACTTCATTCAGTTCTTGTCTTTGCTCTTTCACTCTCACCTGGTCTAAAATACACAGAAATACAGTTAGAATCAGTTCAAGTGAAGCCTTATTTAATAGCAGAGAGCAACAGAGATCAGATCTTTCACTCTTTGTTCTGTCATTCACTTGTTAATATAGTCAAAATATGTTTGACAACTGCTATATACAAGGTTATGATCATTCAGATGCATTTCTCCATCATTTATCGTCCATATACTGCTTATTAATTCACATCTACCAAAGCGTCAACAATGCAGTGTTGTCACGATACCAAAATTATCGTTTCGATACCGATACCAAGTCAAGAATTGCGATTTCGATACTTTTTCGATACTTTTCCTGAAAAGGGAGAAACACTCTCGAATATCATTGCTGTGCTTTATTTTAAAACTGGGACAACATTCTAATCATAACACACTAATAAATGAACATATGAACAGCAGATTAACCATTTGAACAAAATATAAAATATGAAAAATATAAAAAATAAATTAGAGCAATGACATTCAAGGTAAAAAAAAAAAAAAAATTTAGCAGCATTATCTCAGTTATCATAAGAAACATAAGATTTTATCAATATCAATGCCACTGACGATTCTGCTTATCGATCCGATTCTTTAACGATTCTCTTATTCGATTCCTGATAGCACTGTGTGGAAAAAAGTAGTCATATGCTTTTTCGGGGGGGAAAAACAAGTGTTTTTATTTGTTTTAAAACTTACACTTGAGTAAGCAAACTGTAGCCTACTTTGTATGTAATTTGTGTAATAAATGAAACCTTATTACAAAGTATTACCGATTAGTTATACACCGATTCAGACCGATCAGTTGTTTTAACCATTCATTAAAACGAATCGGTTCACATGAAGCTTTAGTCTCCCGACCTTATCGTGTCGATTTATTTTGATTAATATGTGCGAGAGAGAGAGAGAGAGAGAGAGAGAGAGAGAGAGAGAGAGAGAGAGCGCAAGACAGCGCTTAGTTTTGAGACGGTGAAGCCTTGTTTATACTTTCGCCTGGCTCCGCACTCCGCAGAGAGAGAGAGAGTGCGCGCGCGCGCGACCGGGGCTCTCTCTCTCTCTCCGTTCAGTTCACGCGCCCTGTCACACGCGCATGAGGAGAAAAACACGCATGAGGAGAAAAACACAGACGTCCATAGGACAGGCACTGGAAGCGTGCGTTGCACACACCAACATGCAATACTCTCTTACAAATCTGGAACGCAGTCATTCTTAGAAGTATCGATACTAATAAATTTAGGTATCGTGAAGTTTTTAATTTCTGAGTATCGCGATACTTTTGAAGTATCGGTGCACCGTGCAACACTACAACAATGAAGAATCAAGAATGGACACCAACCTATTTGTTCCTCAGTATCTTCATGTTTTATTCTGGATGGTTCTGGATCACTCATGTCTTCAATCTCCTCTTTAATAAACTCCATCTTTAACAGTCACACAGATTTCAGCTGCTACTCCTGGAGTTTGTCCTTCTCTTGTAGGATGATGGGAATATTCCCAGTATTTATTGGTGAATTGTTGTGGGAGGGGCTTCACTGCAGGTGTGAACTGTGATCACTGTGTTTTTATCCAATCTGCATTTAAAAAGTACAGGAACATCATGTTAAACTGAGCAGCTGAAAAACCTCTTTGTCTCCAAAAGTTCCCTGTTTTCAGCTCATTCATTATGGTGATGTCTGAGATCTTCTGTAAATTCAACATGGCATCATGACTTTGCGTAAACATACACGCCACTTTCAAGTCAAGTGGCGTGTTATCTATACGCATTTTGAGCTATCCGCGTGTATGTCCACGCCGAAACGAACCGTCATCTTTTGCGTGTATGTACACGCCGTTAAATGTCCGAGCGAAATGAAGCAAAATGTACATCTACATCTGGGGAGCGATATTTTTTTTCCTAGGATGGTAGGGGAACACTCATAAATGGTATTAACCCCAGTGACGGGTAGTTTTAGGGACGGGGTTGGGGTAGGTCATATATTTATAAATAGGCCTACAGTAATGTAAGTCAACGGCATTGATAAACACGCTGAAAAGCGATTATGCGTGTTGATAGCACGCCAAAACTGGAAATACGAATTGGCGTGTCATACAAACGCCATTTCATGAGATCAGTCTGGTAAATTGGCACATTAAATCGTTTTATTGGTGTCAAGAGGCTTATGTGAAATTTCACTTCCATCGGGTGTGAAACATATCAAAACATAAGTTGTTAGAATGAGTTCAACGAGGATAAATGTGAATTTTCAAGCAAACCCTGATTTAATAACAGAAAACAAGTGAGATCTGCTTATCAAATGTCATATTTTTGATGTACTAAAGGTTAATTTTGTCAGCCTCTTGTTAATAGTCAATATGTGAACGACAACTGCTGTACAAGATTATGATATAAGTGTATTAAATTTATATTCCTAGATTATTTGCTTATTTTACAGCAAAAGCTAATAAAATCAGCCATGATTTTTTTAACGTTTAAAATAATGTTTTGTGTATAGAAGGTAACTATAGAATTAAACAAGAGAATCTGGTTATTCAGACAATAGGCTAAATGTTTTGTCTTTAAACTTTCATACAAATCAAAATTTCACACCAGTGAATTGTCAAAAAATGTCTTTTTTAAATATATAGCAGATTTCACCCAGCAACACAAATGAAATGGAAGCTTTAGCGTTAAGTTCTGCCAGGAAGACTCAATTGTTGCGTCACTAATTACCTTCTCATCTATCCAATCGCGTCCAATACTTACGGTATAAAAGACCAGTACTTACACATGTTGAGTTCGCAGATGCTGACGCTTCCATTGATGCTCTCGTTCAGTCGCCAGCCAACATGTTTCAGGACACGCATATTTTCCTATCCAGCAAACACAACATAGAGACAAAGAAACTCGTAATCTGAACACAGGCATAAAGTCAGGCAGCAAACTTACATAAATCAGTCCACAGTAGAAAACAGTCCAGGACAGGCAGCAAACAATCACGAAGAGAATAAACAGTCCAGGACAGACAGCAAACAATCACGAAGAGAATAAACAGTCCAAGAGTAATCCACGGGAAGACAAAACCACAGGAAGAAACGCTCAGAGATGTTCACCAGGGCAAAACAAAACTTCCCACTGAGGCTCCTCTTCTTCTTCTTCTTCTTCTTCTTCTTCTTCTTCTTCTTCTTCTTCTTCTTCTGTGTTTTTTTTTTATTGGCAGTTTGCAAACAAAGTGCATTACCGCCATCTTCTGGTGAGGTACAACTCACTGGGATGTAATTTTGTTATGTTACTAAACAAAAAATAAATACATAAAAAAAATAATAAAATAAAATAAAAAATAAATTAAATTAAATTAAATAATATAATAAAACCTAAATCCAATCTGCAAGCTGAGTTTCTTTCATAAAGATCATAACATCCTTAATTATAGATTGCGTGCCAGGCAAACTCAATAGGTTTTTAAAACTCAATCCATTTTCCGTTGCCCTCTCTAGTTCTTTCCTTTTTTCAGAGTACTTTCTACTCATCAAGAGTATATGTTTTACACTTCCCACTTCTCCACAATAAATGCATAATCCAGTCCGGTGTTTTCCTATTAACTTTCGGCAGCTGTTTAATCTTGTTCTATTCTCAACCTTGTAAGCATAGTGTCCTCCTGTCTTCTTATAGCTGTTCTTTTTAACCATCACTTCTTTCTGGATGCTTTATAAATGTCTTCCTTTCTCTTTGATCCCATGTATCCTGACACTTTTTATTTATAGTATCTTTAATAATAACTTTAATTTCTAATTTGCTAAGTGGAACTTGTATAATTATGTTCTCTGCTTTCAGGGCTTCTTTTGCTAATGTATCCACCTTTTCATTTCCCTCAATACCCACATGCACTGGAATCCAGTAAACTGTACATACATTTTTTGTTGAGTTAATCTAAAAATGAATGCTTACATATAGATTTTCCACTCTGAATACTTGATAGCGAGGACATGGAATCTGATCAGATTACTATCATATGCGGTTTAACTTCCTCGAACCCATTGCAGTGCTAAAATAATGGGCATTATTTCAACTGAGAAGACTGAGAGGTGATCTGAAGTTATTTTTTGGATGTTAATGTTGTATTTTGCGATGAATAAAGCTGAACCCGTCTTGCCAGTTATTGGATCTGGATCCATCTGTGTATATCTGTATTGAGTCACGACATCAGGCGCGTCGTTAGACATGGGCATCCGGGGCTTCAGCATTGCATGCAAAGGCAGGGTTTTATCATCACTGTGGTCCCAAATGTGAGGTATGGGCAGATAGGGGGGTTAAGGGTTTCCCCGAGAAAATTTTGATATTTTGATTTCTCTGATCTACATATTTTAAGATGTTTTGAAGGCCAAAAAATTTGGATAAAAGCTTTAAAACCATGTCAGTGGGCAGCTGATTATTTTTCTCTCCTCATCAGCAGCATCACTCTTTTTCTCTTTGTTTTTATCTTGCCCCGTCTCTTCCCCTCCTAAAGCTGAGCTTTGACTGATATAGGCTTTTCATTTTTGTCAGTGAAGAAAGTAAACATAGGGTCAACTGATACTGAACTGTTACTGAAAGCTACTGTTGTGGAAATTTTAATAGTCATTGATCCCTAACAGATATCATAAGAGAGAGAACCTATTCAATGTGTAAAATATAGATGATTCAAAGAATGTCACATGTGTGTCTCTCACTTGTAGTGAGAGAAGATTCTGTTTATGTACCTGGGGAAGCAGAAGGGGGAGACACTCCAGAGAGCAGACGAACAGGGACCTCTGACCTAGATGTCGGAAGGCCATTTGGTGCAGGGGGGCTTAGTCTATGGAAAACTACTGGGAGGAAGGCTCTGGGGGAAAGAAGGCCTTGAAACTTAGATAAAAGCTGGTTCAGTCTGTCTGGGGGTGTGTCACTCTTCTGCACAGGGTAACAACTGTGTATTAGACTGCTCCTATTCTTGCAAGAATAAATACTTCTAT